TCTTCGATCAACTTGTAGTAAATAGAATAGTGAATACAATGGTGGCAAAATCACACGAAATGGGAATCGGGAATGCGCACATCGATAGCGATTTTTAGTTTTTTGCAGCGGCACCGCCGGACTTTACCCGCGGTTTCTGGTTTATCCGCCAGTCCTTTTACTCTGATTTGGCCATGGGGGTGTTCAAAATTAAATTTTGAGCAAATTAGAGAATTTTTAAATTTTTTGGCAGTCAGAGGTGGCTCCGGCACGGCAGCGGGTGGCAGTCGGTTCCCTTCTATGGTGACTGGTTCTTCTTCTTTGGCGAGGGGCTGGCGGCTAGGGTTAGGGCTCGGTGTGAAGTGAAATATTTATACTCGTCTCTCTTAAATCTATGTCATTCATCGTATTTAATCTCGACCGTCTGCTCGCGTTTAAAAAGAAAATGAATCTGAACCGTTCATCATGATTTAATCTGTACCGTACGATCGCGTTTAAAGAGGAAACAAATCTGAACCATTCATCGCGTTTAATCGCGACCGTCCGATCGCGCCTGAGAATGAAACGCGGCGTGCTCCGGTTCATTAGGGCTATTGACTGGGCCGTCCTACGTGGCGTAATTTTCTTTAATTGTGTTTTCACCCCAAGTTTCTAATTTTTCTTTCAACAATATCCTCAAAAATCAAAATTTCACCCATTTTTTTCAAAATTATTTTCAATTTCATCATCTACCTATTTTTTTTTTCCTAATTTTACATGAAATAAAAATTTATAAATTTAAAAATTATATTTTTATATATTTATTTTTATTTTTATTTTTTAAAATTAATTTCGGGCCAAATCTCAAGCCCACGTATTAATATTTCTTTAGCAGGTTCTTGAGAGTAATTGTACATTTTATGTTATCTGGTCGTTGAAAAGTATTGCTAGACTGGTTACCTTAATTAGTAAATTGATTTGACCAATTTGCTACCGATTTAGTGTTGAACTTATGGGGTTGCCAGTAACGAATATTCTGACTTTTGCTAAATAGATTAATTATTTTAATTATTTGATAATTAAATTAAAGAATTTAATTTGATTAAATAAATAAAATTTTTGGTCTAAATAAAATATTATTATATTTTTTACTAGTACGGAAGATATAATTAATATTGAAGACAAATTTAATTTTTCTATTTTTAAAATAAAAAATTAATATTTATATTTTTGGGTTATTATATTATTAGTGTAATAATATAATATGTGTAGTTATTATAATAATTAAGATTATTATAAAATTTAATTTAAAATTAAATTGATTTATAAAATTATTTTATTAAATAATAATAATTAAAAATGAGAAACATATATATATATATATATGTAAATATTTAGGGGTTAAAAAAAAAAAAGACTAATGAATCCAACTAAATTTGGACGTCTACACGGTGAGGAGTCCAAAGGGAACTCCTCCACCCATGCCACCTCTCTCTATATATATATATATATGTGTATATATGATATAGGATTTTTGAAAAAGGTGGATAGGTGAACTAGAAAAAATAGCCGAACACCAAAAAGAAAAATTGGAGAATTTTCTATTAAAGTTTTTGTGAGAAAATTTTAATACTAATTTATTCGTGCGTTCTGTTTATCAAATAGTTGAATAATAAATATTAATTTCGGTGTAGATACACATAGAATATTCATATTTTCAAACAATTTTAATTTGAGTATTTATTATCATATATATTTTAAATTTAATATTTAACATGTAGTATAATTTTTAATCATAAATATATCAGTTTGAATTATTTTTTATCTTTTATTGCGTGTTATGCACACATTACAATCCTACGTGAACATCTCTCGACACTCCCATTTCTCACTATACGAAGAATAGATGTTTTTTACTTTCATCTTGGTAATATGTGAGAGCAAAAGCTTACTTGACAATGACTTTGAGAAAAATATTGGCAACTTGACACTCATTGCTCCCGTGTTGTATTTTCTCGCACATTAGATGATAATTTATCTATGTATTTTTATTCTCTCGTAAAATATTGAATTCTTGGCTATATAAATCGTTGCGTCGTTATTATAATGTACCATTACTAGTTCCTCATTCTTAAATCTCAAATCGTTTAAAATGTATTATATTCAACTCTACTTGTAAAAAGAACCATGTTTACAAATTTTTTTCTCCATCGCGATCTAAATTTGTACATTTTAAAATTATTATTTTTGCGTTTGTAGTAAAATTTATATATTTTATTAATTAAGTATATACAATAATCATAATATAATTTATTAACGGTACAAATAAGAAAATATACTATCTGAATTAAATATAAAATTTTTAAATAAATAAAATAAAGTGTCAACTTTAAAATTAAAAAAGAATTATATAAAATTATAAAAAAATTTATAACGGTTTAGAACTTTCCACTTCCCAAACAAAACCGAAAAAAATAAATAAATTAATAAAATATAACTAATATACAAAAATAAAACTGCTTTTGTCCCACTCAAAACTTATATTTACATCAAAAGCCATGATTTACTCAATATTTCATAATTTAAAAATTAATTTTATAATTTAAAAATTTGTAATTTTTGTTTTTACACTGAAATGGACCCAATTATATATATATATATATATATAATTTTTCAAGAAATTTATACACATCAAGCTATGTAGTTCAAACTCTATCCCAAAAACATGCATCTCTAGAAAAAAGAAAAAAATCCGATAATTAAATTCCAAGCTATTTATATATATATATATATATATATTTATACATATATACATATATTTATTTTTATATTCCTTTTCCTGCATTTGCGTGGACCCAGTGGACCCCATTTGCACGTGAAATGGAGCTATATACATGCCTCCCCCTTCTTCTTTTTCCCCAGTCAAATTCAAGCTTCTCTGAAAACCCTAGACCCCACAATCACCGCCAATGTCGAACCGAACAACCACCAACTCCCGCCGCCGGGACCGCCACACAAGGGTGGAGGACCGCGGCCACTTTGTCACGCTCCCAGCTGAATGCGCTGATCGCATCTTTCGACTGACTGGCGAGCTCGGCCTCCAGTCCCACGGCCAGACCGTCGAGTGGCTCCTCCGCCAGGGTCTCGCCGCTCGCTTCGCCATGCCGGTTTCTTTTGCTTCAAATCAAACCCCATCTGGGGCTGCTCCTGCCGTGGCTCCGGCCACTGGGTTTGCCCCCGGCTCTGTTGATCCTCCCTCTTCCGGAGGCCGATCAGTGGAGATCAACAATGGGGGGATGATGGAGGAGGATGGTCGCCGCCTCTTCTGAGATGTTCGTTTGGATTATCATATGTATTTGCTTTGTTTTGTGTTTCATGTTATCGTTTGTCTCAGGGTCTGATCATTATACAGTTTGGATCATGACCAGTAAGACACAGAGGTACCTTTGATGTGTACTCTCCTTCAGTTGGTGTATGTATGTGCTTATAATATCAGTGAATATATCCGTTTGATGTTTGTGTAAACATTGAGAACTTCCTTACATACACACACACACACACACACAGAGACACTCGTGTGTAGTATCAATCCTCAATCCTCAATCATGACCAATGCCAGAACTATTCTGAAGTTCCTCAATCAATCCTTGAAAGTATTAATTCATACTCCGTATATTGAATTAAAGAACTAACAATAAATATATTATGTAAAGAATAATAAATGATAACATCTATTGTTTACAAAGCATATTAGGACCCATACTACTTTTGTTTCTCTATCTTCCATTGCCTATGTTGTATACTTAGTGTCTTCTGGGTATGCTTCCTAGTACCTAAGAGTAGAGTTTGTGTTTCTTCTATATTCTTCAATAAAGATTATCTTTTACCATTCAAAAAAAAAAAAAAGACCATAAAGAAAAATAAAACAATAAATCAAAATTCACAAAACCTTAGATTTGTAAATTAAGGTATTAGTTCAAAATATGGTAGAAATCTAAGATAATATCAATTTAAGAACTCAAGGATAAGGATAAATATTATTCTAAAACAAATCTAATTGTTGGAAAATTTAGAATTCAACTCTTTGTACACTAGTATCAAATAGATACTCAATACATATATGTGATGGATATGACATTAAAGCAATTGTAACAGACTAATGTAAAAAAGAAAATTAAGAAAATAAATTCTTTAATGAAAAATGGTGATTCAATGAAGATTTTAAAGAGTAAGAATGAAAAAAACAATCACATCTAATTTTGATTACATCTATATATATATATCACAAAAACTATTAACCATGACAATAAAGAGATTTTCTTCAAATAGTGGTTGTTAACTTTTCTCATATCCTAATTTTTATAGTTCATATGGATTTTAATCATATATGAATTTTTTATAAAAATAAAAAATATGTAAAGAAAGTAAAAATTAATCGAATCATAATAAATTATTAGTAAAAAATACAATCACTTTGATAGTTAAGAAAGATCTCCGTAGATGTGCACGCAGATAGATATATCATACAATTATATTGAAATTCGCTCAAAATCATAATCTATATAAAACATCGACTATAATACCATCACTGGAATCAAATAATAACTAAAAAGTTATGTAATCGGCGCATAAGATCATATATTTAATATATAGATTATCAATCCCTAACAAAGAATGAACAAATTAGCTTTAAAATTAGATAAATAGAAAATAAATTAATTTTAATTTAAGAGAAATACATACCTAATTGAAGTCTCAAAAAGAGGATGACGATAGAAAAACCCTAATTACAAGTCAAGAAGGAATAGGAAGAGGCAGAGAAAAGAAAAAGAAAAGCACAAAAATGCATTTTCTATGTTCTCGGTAGGGGAGCAATATCTATATATATAAAACCATTACTGAAATCAAATAACAACTAAGAAGTTATGTAAACGGTGCATAAGATCATATATTCAATATATAGATTATCAATCTCTAACAAAGAATTTTAAAATTAGATAAATAGAAAAGAAACTAATTTTAATTCAAGAGAAATACATATTTGATTGAAGTCCCAAAAAGAGGATGCCGATAGAAAAACCCTAATTATAAGTCAAGAAGGAATAGGGAGAGACAGAGAAAAGAAAAAGGAAAGCACAAAAACGCATTTTCTATGTTCTCGGCACGGGAGCAATATCTATATATATATATAACATCATTAACAAAACGATGTCATTTCAATTAAATAAGAAAATTATTAAAAATATATATATAGTAACACCATTTTTTAGAAATTCAAGAGATAAAATCATACTACAAGATCAAATGACTTCATTCTAATGATCATTTTTTTGAAAGTAATTAGTATTTTATTATGTATTAAATTAAACAATCACGCACAAACAAAGAAAAAATTCAAAGAATTCATAAAAAGTAACACAATCTAATTTTTTATTGTGAAATATAACAAATTTCGTAAAGTAGGTAATAAATCGATACTACAAAAGTTCACAAAAGAAAATAAAAATCTTACTATGAACAATAACAAAGACAGTGAATTTTTCTGAAGTTAAGATACAATTTCGTAATGCTCCAAATGAAATAAAATTAGCACTAAAGATGAACACAACAAAATTCCAAGAAAGGGTGCTCTCCACATCCATAAGAAAAGCCAAAAAGAGTGTCCCTCATCACTCAATATTTTTTTTTCTAAAATTAATTCAATGGCTGCTTTCTTTTTGGATATGAAACGAAAGTAGACAATGAAGAAGATTTGAATTGTCTACTAGAAGACCTTGAGTACACCCTGAAAAATTTTGGGCTGCCTTTTAAAACCCCATTCAAAGCCAATTTTACGACTTAATGATGGATAAGTGATCACTCTAGTTTCCCTTTTGGTCTTCAAAAGGATTTACACACCATTTGAAATATATATATATATATATATATATGTAAGTTCATATATTTATTATAGATGCAACTAATCATTTTAATTTTTTTGTATCCGAAATGGGTGAATTAGAACTCCCACCCTCTACTAGCTGGAGAGTATATGTTTTTTACTCAAACCATCGTGTATTAGATGATAATCCATCTCTATATATTTTGTCGTCCTCTCGTGAAATATTAGATCTTCGTTAGCAACATAAATCGGTGCGTTGTTCCTACAATGTAACTACTCTTAGTTCTTCATGCTTAATTCTCAAATCATTATAAGAAGTATTGTATCCAATTCTACTTGCAACCAGTACTAATAATAACTTCACATTCTGCTACTGTCGCTTATCTGCACATCGGAGTGTGAACTAATTAATGATGTCCTAAGATATATACAATGTCTAATTACAGTTCTTCTAGTGTCTTGACACACTCCCCAGAACATTAGTTACTGCAATGTGTATATACATCACGCATACATATCGTTATACACACATATTGATTATCATTGAGTAAGATATTTCAACTAGTTTTCTAGTATATCAACTTAGAACATTTATAGTTGGATTAATAGAAAAAGAAAAAACAATGCTTAAAAGTTTTTCTTATACATCACTATCTAAATTAACATTAATGGATCCAAATGAAACTACTATTTTTTTTTCTAAGTAAAATTTACACATTAATTATTAATTAAGTATATACACTAATTATAATACAAGAGTATACATACAACCTGATTCAAATATAATTTTTTTTTTTTATAGAATAAAGAACTTTAAAATTTAAAAAAAAAAGATTAAATAAAATTGTAAAAAAAAAAAAAAATTGTAAGTAACGGTTTAGAACTTTCCACTTCCCAACAAAAACTGAAAAAATAAATAAATTAATAAAGTATAGCTAATATACAAAAATACAACTGCTTTTGTCCTACTCAAAACTTATATTTACATCGAAAGCCATGATTTACTCAATATTTAATTTTATTTTTTATAATATTTTTAGTAAATAATTAATTTTGTAAGATTATGTATAATACCCGAGTCTGAAATTTGACTCGAGATTAATTTTGATATTTTAAAATATATAAAAAAAATTATCTTTAAATTAATTTATTTTAATTTTTGTTGAATTTATAGAAAAAATAGATTATGGGTGAAATTGAAAATAATTTTGGAAAAAAAAAAGTAAAAATTTAGATTCGGATTGTGTTTTTGAAAGAAAAATTAGAAACTGAGAGTTAGAGTACAAATAGAAAAAATTGTGTCATGTAAGACCGCCCAATCAGCAACACCAACAAACTGGAGCATGTCGCGTGGCAAGGCACGCTAATGTCGGAGCCACGCAGGATACCACACAGGCGATCTGCGTGCTCCGCGATCGAACGACCCAAGATTGATATTGCACGTGTGGACGGTTCGAATTTGTTTCTCCTATAAACGCGATCAGACAATCAAGATCAAATTACGATGGACGGTTCAAATTTATTTTCTCCTTAGGTGCGATCGGACAGACGAGATCGATCGCGATTGGTGGACCAAATCAAAGCAGGATGGATATAAATATCTTGCATCATATGGGAATCCAAACCCTAGCCGCAAGCCCCCACTAGAGAAGAAAAACCAGACGCTGGAGAAAGAAGTCGACCGCCGCTGCACCAGAGTCACTGCCGACCGCCAAAAGAGATAAAAATTTCTTCTACCCGCTCGGAATTTGATTCCAAGCACTCTGATACCCAAATCGGAGCAAAATAGACAGTGAGTGAGCCGAAAATCGCAGGTGAAGCTCGGCGGAGTCGCCACAATCAAAGCCCTAAAACCTTTCCGATGAGCCACTTCCCAATTTTTATTTCATGTGATTTTTCGATCATTGTGTTCATCGTTCTCTTATGTGTAGATTAATTGAAGAAAGAACATCAGCCGCAAAGGAGAATCAGCAGAGCCGCCACACTTGGAGGTCCCCCCTGCCGGTGAGTTCGATTTTCTGGCCAACCGATGCCCTTGACGTATTTTTCTGCAGGAATACAGACAAAACTACTCAAAAATTGGCCAAAAATGGTTTGGCCGAGACGAACCGCTATCGTGGGCGGCAAAGCCGACGCCATAATACGGCGGCACTGCCATGCCAGAACCCAAAAATTGGTCGGAATGAGTTTTCGACACCGATTTTGGATTTTTATGATATATTTAGGTACGTGACAAATATTTTGGATTATGCATGGATGATTCAAGAAATTCAGTATCCGTTAGGAAACGTAGTAGGCAGCACGACATTCTGAAATACTGATCCAAATAAGAATTCCTCACCTTTTTATTCATTACGATAAATTAAGGCTTAATAATTAATAATTATGTATTTTTATAAAAAATTAGAGAATCTTAAAAATAATTACAAGTAACTAGTGGAGTCAAAA